TTGGTATCCCTCTCAATTTTAATGATATTCCACTAGATGCCGCATCCGAGGAGGATCTCAATTTGATCAATTTTGCGATTGATGATGACCATGAGAAAATTCAGGAAGACTGGACCTCTGAACTTGGTGTTAACTTGCGGTACTGTGTCAAAGTCCGAAAGAACTCTCCATTTAAGCAAGTTCAGCATGCACTGCCATTGAGTGGTCTTTTCACTGATAAATACAGCAGTTTGGAGTTATTAAACATCAAATGGCAGTCGAGAAAATCCCGTTCAAAAGGCAAATTAAACCATCCATCACCGTCTAAACCACAAGAAAGTGTTGAAACGAAAGTAGATGAAATATTGGTGGAAAAGCTTGATAGCAACATTTCTAAATATGGGCTGAAAATTATTCAGTATTCAAGAAGGAAGAAAAGAAAACCGGATTTTTCAACTGGAGCTGGTGGGGTCAGTGAACATTTGAAAAATGACTTGCCAAGAGAAGATTTGGCTGCTTCAAGTCAACTTCTTGATGAACATGGTGGAAATAAATCCAAGATAAATACCAGAAGTGAGTCAATTCCGACTCAACTTGAGATCCTGACTACCAAAGTGGTACAAAAGGACCAGAATGAAATTTTGGAGGAATTGGATCCGGACGATGAAACTCAGAGTTTGACAGCTTGTGCTAGTTCTCAAAAGAAATGTGAGATCAAGCTTATGGAGAGTAACACTGTGAGTGATGAGATTTCTCCTGCCGGCGAGTGTCCCAAATGCTGCATTTCAGTGGATTATGAAAGATATGTGGAGAACACTGCCACTGCTACCGAGGTTGACAATTCACTTTCTGAAGGACGGGGTGAGGAACCGGATTCCGGTTATGGTTTGATGAATCTTGGTAATTCAGCAAATTCAAGTTCTGCTCAGCGATGTGCTGGAAGATTTGATAAAGGATTGAAGGACATAACTATTCTGAAGTTTTCTATGAACTCATGTATGACATCTGAGAATGAAGTGCAGCAAGAAACTGAAGCTACCAGCAAAAATAACTACAAGGCGATGTTAAGATGTGAAGATCTGAAGGAGCCTTGTGCTGCAGTAGATTCTTTTGATGGTACAACTTCCGAGAATAAAGCACAGAAGCAGGAAATCCAGATTAATGCAAGCAAGGAAAGGGGCATTGATCAGTCTTCTAATGCAGACTGGCATACTGATGTGACTTTAGATGTTGAAGTAGTGCAAGAAACTCGAGCTACAAGAGGAACCGCTGGGGATGAAGTTATAACTGGTTCCGATTTGCCAATCCAAGAAAAGCAGCCTACTCACGTGGTGATAGAAGATTGCTCTCAGGAGAAGCTGTGTGCTGCTGCAACAGCAGATAAAGGAACTGTTTCTTGCTGTCATAGACCTATGAATCAGAAAACTATCGCTGTCCAGAAGTACTCAAGAACCAATAGAGAGACTTATACTACCTTGAATGTAAATGATGTCGATGAATTTTGTTCGTCGGCAGAGAATGGAGATCATGAGTCTGTTATGGCAGATTGTAAATCAAGTATCATGTATGGAAGAAAGAGGAAGATAAAACTGGAGGAAACACCTGCAAAGGTTGATGGCTATGGCTTTATTAGAAGTCCATGTGAAGGGTTGAGGCCGAGGGCTCGGAAAGATGCAACCACCAGTCTTAATGCATGTAAAGCGTCTTCTGAGAGGCTGCCAACAAAAGAGACGAGAAAACATTCAGTTCATACTCAGAGTAAGAAGAAAATAAAAAATGGGTCTCATGGATGTGACCTGGAAGGCTGCCATATGAGTTTCGAGACAAAGGATGAGTTGAGGTTGCACAGACAGAATCTGTGTCCGTACTATGGCTGTGGAAAGAAATTCCGTTCCCACAAGTATGCAATCCTTCATCAACGAGTCCATGATGATGATAGGCCCCTCAAATGCCCATGGAAAGGTTGTTCCATGTCATTCAAGTGGGCATGGGCTAGAACTGAGCATATACGGGTGCACACCGGAGAACGCCCATATCAGTGCAAGGTTGAAGGTTGTGGCCTTTCTTTCAGGTTTGTGTCTGATTTTAGCCGGCATAGACGAAAAACCGGGCATTATTGTTAGGTGGACTCTTCAACCCGAAAGTTTGTCATTATAGTTTGGTTTCATCTGTACGGTCGTAACAGATCTAGCGGATTCATGTACAAACTCGAAGATTCTGATTAGGCATAGTCTAGGACTAAACTGATCCTTTTGTAGATTGGCATTCTCCAATCATCTGAATGCTATTAGGAGTGTCAGATCCTTCTTAGCTTATGTTTCCTGTTGTTTGTGCTATGACAATCCTTTCTTGTAGAAATTACTCAATTTTTTCATTTCTTTTTTGAAATATTTATATTCCATGTTCATGTCCGGCACATAATTCAAGAAGGTGATCTTGAGATAAATAAATTGAAAGAAAACTTAATAACTGTCCATTAAAGAATTAAACTTGCCTATGCATTATTGAGTTAGCTTTATGAGTAGTTTAATTTATTAATAATTAAATTTTAATGAAACTAAGTTGATAATAATGAAAGTTGAATCCGATAAAATTGCGGGATTGATCCATTTTTCATTTAAAAATATAACAGTAAATCAACACCACAATAGCATAGAAATCCATCATTTCTCGTCTTCTGAAACAAGCAAATACAAATCTCATTAAAAAAAAAAAAACTGGATATTTCTGAAGATAAAATTTCAGTCTTTGGCTAACTTAGAATCCAACTTTAAAAAAAAACTTTTTTATTTCACTTTCATAATGCTCACGTAAAACAGCTAAACATTGGCATTCTGGTAAGCTTGAAGAGAATCACCGGTAAGCCTGCAAATCCTCCATTCAGGCAAAACGTGAGCACCCATTTGTTCATAAAACTTGATAGCGTTTACATTCCAATCCAAAACCACCCATTCAACTCTCCCGTACCCCATTTTCACCGCCTGTTTCGCCACCGCCGAAAGCAGCATTTTTCCAAACCCTTTCCTCCTGTAGCATTCCCTGACGAACAAATCCTCAACATAAAACCCTGGTTTCCCTAGAAATGTCGAGTAGTTGGGAAAAAACAAAACGAACCCAGCTATTACTACTTGATCACTTCCATAATGAACCGAAAAGGCATCCTTTTCAGGGTCGTTCAAAGGGAGGTCGAAGTTGAAAGTTTTCTCTATGGGGGTAAAAGAAGGGGAAGGGGAAAGGAGTGGAGGTATAGGATAAGAGGAAAGTTCGAGGAGGAAAATCGTGAAGGACTGGAAAGGAGGGGAGAGGAAGAGGGTGGAAGAGAGGGAGGATTCCGTGGCGGAGAAGAGGTGGATCAGCTTTTCAAAGACGGCCATTTGGTGAATTAGTTTGTGGATGAAAGGGACGTCTAGAGGGGTAGCTAGGCGGATCCTGGTGAACACAGGGTGGCCTATCGGGGCTGTTTCCGGTGGTGCCATGCGTGGCTCCGGAACATCAGATGGTGGCGGCGGTGGAGCAGCGGCGGCCATTGGACTTGGGGGTGTTTGCGAGTGAAAAGAGAAGTGAAAGTTTAGGTGATCTAGAGAATGCGATGTGGGGAATAGAGGGTGTAGTTTGTGGTCGAGAAGGGTTTTATATGTGGGGGGTTTTGTGGTATAAATGTAATATGTGTGGAAATGTAAGGGTGTTTTTCTTGGGATTGAGTTTTTTAGGTTTAATGATATTTAAGGTCCTCGGTTTTTTTTTTTAAAAAAAAATTAATGTGATTCTTGAATTATTTTTATATTTAATGTAGCCTTTAAACTAAAAAAAATGTGACTATTTAATCAACATTTTTCATCGTTAATAATCACAATGTTAATGTGACAGTTCTTGATATTGATGTAACGATCTATTATAATTGATGACATGATATATAGGTTAAATTAATTTTTTAATCTAATTTAAGGATTAAATTATTTTTTTAGGTTTGGAGTTTATATGTATGTATATTATTCTCGTCTTAATTTAAAAATATAGTTTACTTTTATTTTGACCTAAAAAATATTTTTGTATATATGTTTAATTTAATTAGACCATACTATTAATGAATTAAATATATTGTAATTTCATATAAATTAAGTATTAAATTTGAATTAATATATATGTATATAATGTTAACAATTATAAGCTAAATTTTAAATTTGGTTCAGCAGTTAGGTGTGTCGTTATTTTCTGTAGGCCTTAGGTTTAAATCTCCATTCTCTCTTATTTTCTTTATTTTTTAACAATAAGATATAATTTAATATATATTTTCAATTTTAAATTAATTAAAAATTTCGTTCAGTGATTAAATATTATCTTAAATAATGAAGATCAAATACATAATTATATAAATTTATTTAATTAATTAACACGCCAGTATCTCTATTAACAACCAACTATCAATGCTTTTATTGAAACTTTTTATTTTAATAACTAAATAATTTTATTTACAAAATTTATTTTATAATTTAATTACTATACATATAATTTACTCTTGTATTTAATATATAATTAGTGATAATCTAATGATTTCCATTTCATCTGAAAAGGTAACCCGCGCACCTAAACTAATCTGAAATGAAAAAAAAAATAAAAATAAAGAAGCACATGCAAATTTCAATTTTACCTGTCACTTTCTTTAAGGCAGTCTCAAGATAAACAGCTGTTTGATTTCATTACAAAACGCCGACACGAAAGTAAATAGATGCGCATTTTTATTACATTAATCAAGAACAATACCTTTTAAAAAGATATGTGACCACCTTCTCTCATGTTCTTTCTTTTTGTTCAATGCTTTTCTTGGTCTACAAGATTTTGTGTGTCAGGCTCTTCTAGCATATGTGATACACTTCATGATTTTTTTTTAATTTTTTGAAAAATTTTATAACTTTGAACAATATTATGTCTGTTATATCATTGCTCTTATGCAGAAAGTAAGGAAGAACAGTGTGTATGCATATAAGATTTGGGGTTCTACAAAACTTGAGGTTTTCCTTTTGCATCACCCAATTTCAAGCTTTTGAGCTCTCGTAGTTTCCTTATCCAAAACCCCAAGCTTCTTCAATGCCATTTATGAACTTTCATCTTCGTGGCTGCCTGAAACTTCTGGATCCGGATTCATTGTTAAATGAACCTGCCATTGTCAAATTCACAACCACAGATTAGTATCAGATTGCATAACGGTGATCCAACGGTTATGAAGTCCGGGTTTTAATGTTAGATACCGATATGTGTTTGACTCGAATTCGTTCATTATTTTTCCAAGTTTCTTCATGTATGATCTTTAAATAATAACATGGCCTATCCGAGTCAAGCCGACTCAAACCCTATTTGAATGTGTTTTAGCAAGGGATTTCAATTTTGCCGAGTCAAAGCCTGACCTAAACCAGGTCATGAACACATCTAATAGGAAGTATAACTACCATTTCATAGATAGGGATTACCATAGTGATGACTTATTTCCAGACAATGTCACCCATAAATTTAAGTGCCGGAACACCTCTAATCTCCAAGTCAACTAAGGGTGACTGGATCAGCTTCAAGCTTGATAGCTCGGGATCTCTCTGGACCATATCAAGAGCACGCATCTGATCCTGAAACATTAATCGAACGATGAGTACTTTGAGGGAAGAGTAAGCCGAAAAGGAGAATGTCAATGGAATATTCATAGCATATTCTAGCATTCATAGCATATAAGGTCAAGTCAGATAGAAACCGATAGATTCAGGTTATTTTGCAGACTCTACTTATAATCTTTATATAAAAGTAAAAGATGAATACCCTTACTTTTCGCTTAAAAAATCCTGCAGTCAGATGCCGATAACGGAAAAATCTGATTTAACAATAGAAAACAGGTCCACCCCACCCCAAACCCGATATTGAAAAAAAGATTCATCCTTATAAGATCAAATCAGTTCGAAATCCAATGAATTCAATTTATTTTGCCTCCTCATAATCTTTTTACAGAAGTAAAAGATAAATATACCTTCCTTTTGACTGCACAAAACTTGCAGTCAGAGGTAGATGGAGGAAGAATCTGATTAACAATTAGTCTCTTCACAGGAACATTTTCCTTCTTCAAGGAGGCACTTAACCTGGAGGACTCGCTAACCGCCATCACCTAAGCAAAAGTACGTAAAATATAAGCGATTTAATTGAAATAAACAATCATCATAATTGCAATGGAGTGGAGTTGGACAGGGTGGAGCACGGTATAGGTTGAATTATCTACATCTAGCTTACTCTTGCATGAATTTTAGAAACCTTTATCTCCATGAATATCGGTTACACCCGTAGCAGCTCCACCATGCGCTGCCTCAATTTTCATTAATTGTTTTACTTAATATTGTAAAAAGTTAAGTTACAATTTATTCACGAATGTAATATTTAATATTCTTTGATATATATTTTAAGGGGTAAGATTGTAATTTTAAAAGGTAGACCAGCGTGGAATAGAACAAGCATTCGCCAAAAGCACTCCGTTCCACTGCACCCTTAATTTTAAGAAAAAAGTCTTCCATTCAGATCAAGCTTAACAAACCTTATATGTAATGGAAGGAAAGGCTAATGTAAATAATGCTAAATAATTAAGTACTGAAATTGAGGCTGAACTACAATTGTAAGTGGCAATACCGTCGGGATTGTGACGATGACAAACTCCGTAGAATCTGCATCACGGAAAAGGTCTCTCACTTTTACCATCCTCTCCCTCAATTTCTCCAACTTGTCAGCCTGCACCAATAATATATGGATAAATAGTGTTGAAGAATAAAATAAAATGATTAAAAAAATGAAAACAAGATGACAATCTTATCTATATCAGTCTTACAGAATTCTGTTGGGTTTCTTCTTTCCCGAAAACAGATTTTATGGCGGAGGTGGCTGAAGCAATCTTCTGTCTAAGCTGTATATGGCAACGACAGTGAAAGAAATGAATTTAGTTCCTTCAAAACTAGATAAGAAAACATATATACATATATATAGAGAGAGAGAGATGTAGGATTACATTATGTAAAACCCTTTAGTTTTACATTGGCCGAGATATACAGTTGAAGATGAGGAGTTTTTTACAGGTAAAAGAAAAAAAGAGATGGATAATGCAAATGCACAAAGTTTTTATCTTAGCCATTCATTTACACTCATTGATCCTAAATCAGTGTAAAATTAAAAAAATACAGAGTAACTGGATATTATCCCATATATATATATCATCAAATATAAAGCTAGTTCTGGATTCGTAAAAATGATTGATTTGACTAATGATGATTCGATTTTGTAAGACAGCTATGTCAAAAAAGGACAATCTTCTGAATTCTGCTTACATTGTCAACCAACTCAACCTCACCACTCTCGATGAATGGAAGGCTTTACAACTATGTTGATAAGACTCTAAAATTTTCAATTATCTGAGTCTAATACAGACTAGAAAAACTTACAAAGGCCCCTCTAAATACATGGGAAAAACTTAAAAAGACATGAACATACCCATGTCGGACACGTACTCATATCCGACACTCACACACGAGACCGAGTAACTTAGCTTTACATGTGAAATCAGTTAGACATGCCAACTCTGTGAGTCACAATCACATGAGAAATCATCTATCTTAAACTTAAAAGCATCTCTAATATAGTAAGAATGAACCACAAAGGACAATAAGCTCATCTTTTAAGAGGAAGATGTTACTTGTCAGTCATTTTTCATAACTGCGTCAGACACATTTGTATCCAACACACAAACCCGAATCTGGTTGATTTTGAATATCAAGTGCCACATAATAGGAAGAATAAACTCATCACTCACCGTTGGCGCAGTGTCGAAAACTATTCGAGTAAACATATTATATTGTGGTGATTCAAGAAATTGCATCACCTAGCAAGATCTTTAGCAGTCAGTATACAGCAAAATATATGAAAGCTGCAATAAGACAAGGAAATAAGCCGGGAACATAATGCTACCTTTGAAATTGCAATAGCTTCATCTAAACCAGGAGGCGGAGTGTCGAGCAGCTCTCCCAATTGCAGCTCTCCTAACTTCGAAGTTAAAAGAAGCATGAGAAGCACAGATCATAACTTATAAAATCCAAAAATGTCAAAGGAATAAACAAGCCGAGACCTTAGAAAAAGCAGCTTACGTGAAAGATTAGGACCCACATACAATCAGGAAATTCATGAAGCAAAATTTTCTCATTTCTCCTATGGTTAGCATTTTATACTTGCCAAGCTACTTTGGTTTCATGTGTCACCATATGCACGAGTGTGAGCATAGGTACACCTGAAATCCGAATTTTCTTCGGGTTATTACTTATTTTATTGATTGTGCCCACCCTGTACAAAAAATTTATGTTGTTAATATATGTGTCCTCCCTAAAAAATATTTATGGATTCGCCACCGGGTATGCATGCTGTGTGTGTCTTCCGCATGAAACACAAAATGATGCATTAGCCATTTAGGGAAATTTTGGCTTATTTAAAAGATTAATGGCAACAACTTAAACAGCGAGGCCATACATGGCATTACACAGAAAAAATAGTAAATAAAGCTTCACCTGTTCTACAAGCATCCCAAGGCCCATGCCATCCATGAATTCTTTGATCCCAGTTCCACCATTATTCTTGGTTGCATCTCGAAACTCTTCCCTAGCCTTCTCCGGGTTTATCTGTGACAAAGCTATAAATTTAACATACATTTACAGAGCATACAAGGCAATAAAAAACCATCAAAACAATAGCTCTCAGGTAGCTATCTCCTATGGAATACGTGATCTCAAGGATTACGCGCAACAAACACAAAATAACGTCCCAAAGAAAAATTAACAGGCATTCAGGAAGTTTATTCCACGTACCTCAAGAGCACACAACGGAAAGTCAGGTCCTTCAACTGGCACTAGCATCCCTCCAGTCAAATCCTAGATCAAAAGTAAATACATAGACCGAGCCCAAACTAAGATAACCATAGAAATAAAAGCATTGAAACAAAAAAACAAGGGAGTGGGTTAAACCTGAGCAAAAGAATCACTCAAGGAATGAGCCGGATCAGTCGAAACCACCAGAGTATGGTGTCCATTATTTGCGAATTTAACTGCTAGTGAAGCTGCACAACTTGTTTTCCCTACACCTCCCTTGCCACCTAACATGTAATACTTGCGTTCGGTCCCGGAAACCATTTCGTCAAATCCTGCAACATCTTCTGCAGGAGCAGCCACAGATCTCACTGCTACAAAAGTATAGAGATGAATCATTCAGAAGCCATAAGCTAGGATTAATCCAAGGAAATGCCACAGCGACCTAAAACTGCTTTGCTCAAAGTCGAGGGGAGTATTGGATTCAGGTATATGTTTGACACTGGTATGCTCAATTTTTTAGTTTTTCCATATATTTGAAGGAACTTGTCCAATACCGTGTTTGAATGTGCCAAGCACAAATATTTCATGAAAATGAGGAGTCATAATAACATGGGACTGACGCATTACTCCATTGAACACAATTCCCTAAAACATTAAGCAACATCTCATAAAATAATTTCTTTTTTTCCATATATTGAAGGAACTTGTCCAATACGTGTTTGAATGTGCCAAGCACAAATATTTCATGAAAATGAGGAGTCATAATAACATGGGACTGACGCATTACTCCATTGAACACAATTCCCTAAAACATTAAGCAACATCTCATAAAAATAATTTCAACTATGTCATCTGATTGTCTCCTATAAATTTCAGGGGAAAAAAGACTTTTAACTACAAAAATGTATTCACGCAAGAATGAACTCCAACTTTCTTTCTATGTCGCTGCGACTCTTAATTTTTTTGTGACATTTGCTCCAACTCTACATTATTTTATTGAAAGTGCCTTGTCCAACACATTTCCAGATGCTAGCAAAAGGATATGACCCTCCGAGGATCTCCAAATTCATGAAGAAACTTGAAATAAAACGAACTATCCTATCACCATCTTTCAATTTCCAGTAATTTACTCCTCTAATCCACTAAAACTAGCATTTCCTTCGCTTGTTTTTAACAAAATTTTCAGTTTTATATCTACAACAATCCTCAGTAGCTTACATATTTCATATTACATAAAAATTCCATTACTTGCGAACTGAACTAACCAATGGATCATCCCACTACAACCTGAAGATAAACTTAAAAAAAATCAAAAATTTTCCTATGTACTTAACAACAATTTATTAAATTTGAAATCGCTCAATAATCCTACTTCTTGTAAATTAAAAGTTTAAAACTACCCAATTCAAAATCCATTACAACAAATAAATAATAATAATTAATATAAAAAACTTAAAAAACACATTAAAATTTTCCAAATAAATAAGGAAAACAAAGCGAGGCCCTAGAAAGATATAACCAATCTAGGAGAGAGGTAAAACAAAGTAAAGGAATTACCTTGAAAAGAGTTGTTGGGTCTTTTTGTTTTGATAGAAAATGAAGGAAAAGCCGAAGATAAAGTGTGGAGTCTGGGTGAAAATGAAAGAAAAAATCCAACAGGTACCATTGGATTCCTTGCAAAAGGAGATGATGATGATGATGAATATGAAGTAAATGAAGCATGCCATGCTGCTGCTTTCGCCATTTTTGCCTCTTCGTTTTTCTTTTCAAGCTGTTCTAAGTAGTTAAAACACGTCAATGAGGTGTCCTTCTATTGAAACAAAGAAAACTTGGATAGCAATGTTAATCAACTTTGCCTAATTCGCCAATCCAATTTTGCGTTTTCTTCCGGCTTGAATTGTATTGATGTTCCGTTTTTGTTCATACTTTTATATAATAATGTTGAATTATGTTAAAATAAGATTTTTTTATTATTAAAAGCTTAATGTTATAAAATAATTATTAAATTTATTAAAATATTATAAAATAATTTTTAATTTGTTTAAATAAATTAAAATTAAGAAAATATTTTCCAATCAAATAGTGACATGTGTTATCACTTAATTAGAGACTAATTTTGTTATAATTATAATTAAATTAATAAAAATATATAAAGATTAAAGATTAAATGTGTAATTATAGTATTTTTTAATATCTATATCATCTACTCCATTAAATATCAACTACTGTAGTTTAAGCACAACAATTAAACAATTTGGTCTAATTGTTAATATTAAAATATCATTGATAAAAATAATAATAATAATAATAATAATAACTAAATAATTATAAGTATAATTTATCTTTATATATTTACAATACGTCTTGTCTTCAAGAAAAATATCTCTCCCACGAAATGATATCATATCTGTATTATATTCACAGTATGTACAAATATCAAATGCTTAAAGGAATCATGGAGTGTAAAGATAGAAAAGTAAAGAGTAAATTATAGGAATGACCACTTAACTATTTATCCTTTTTACTTTAACTATTGATTTTTTAATTTTATCAATCAGGCCATCTATTTAAATGACAAAAATTGGGTAGAAAATACCGCATAAACGAAAAAAAATGTAATAGAATCCCTTATTTAAAAATAATATAAATTATAAGAATATAGAAAATATATAATATGGCTCGAACCAAGTGAAGTTGGTGATAAATAAATTATTATTATTCCTTAAGATTTTAAGCTCGAGCACCATGAATGCAATTACGCAAGGGTGTGAGTGTTTAATGTTAAATGGTTGAGAGTTATATTTGAACAAATACTACCTTATATTTACCCCAGAGTACGCTCAGTCGGGGAATAGTTTAAGCTCGAGTTTAACTTAAAAAATTCAATTTAAATTTGATTAAGCTTCATTTTTAATGTTCGAAATCAACAGAAAATTACTTAAACACAATTTATTAGCCTCATTTACCTTAATAGAAATGAGCTTGGTTCACATACTCACTTTAAGCTCCATTTTATACAGGAGTTCAAACTGAAATTTTCAAAACTAATTAAAATAATATATATATATATATATAATAACAAAAAAAAACTCAATTAAATTTATGAATTATCCAAATTAAACATTAAAATATTCGAATTTAATTCATTCAATAATTCAGAATAATCTAACTCAAGTTCAACATGAAAATGATCAAATAATTCAAATTTATATTCAAACTGAATCCCAATAACTTACCATCCCAATAAATTATCAGTAGTTGATGTTTGATTTCCTACGAAAGCTCATTCCGAGAGCAATAAAATGTAGTAATTAATCTTATAAAGATTTGTATGTCATTTTGAATATTTTCTATTGCCAGTTGAGCTTCGTAAATCATATTTTCATGGATTAAATATTTATTATATACAATGGCACATCTAAAATTATTTTTGACGGTAAACTTATATATATATATATATTAATAACATAATTTTTTATTATAAATAAACATAATTAAAATTTTAAGATGAACACTATTAATAAAATGAACAACAAACATAAAAAATTTAAATTTCAATATAAATAGGTGCATACAATAAAATCCAATTACGTCCATGACTGACCATATAACAAGATTATTTATTGCCATCTAAAGCTGAGAATTATGTTAATTAAAAGCTCAAAAAAGCAATAAAAATAGCATATATGAAAATGAACATGGATTGGAGAAAAGGTTTAATTATGAAATTCAAAACAATCACAGAAATACTAATCAATGACGCATGGACTTCTCTCATATCAAAATGATTGTTTACTACAGCATATGCTTACACAGCAAGAATTTTTTTATAAATTTTGACTTATAATTTGTCTTTTTGCACCCACTTTTGAATTTATGGTGCAAATAAAGTATTCAACATTTTAAAGCCAGCGGCTTTAAGCTATGTTAATGTCTTCCACCTTCTAAACTACATTTTTTCCTTAAAAAAGATTACAAATAATATACTTTATTGTTTGCTGGAAGGGTACGTGCCTTATATAGTTATATCCAAATAATTATACCGTATATACATATATATTCGGATATGCGTTGGATTGGATGAATTGAATTCTCTTCGATTTGTTCAAAATCCCTTTTTTGAAGAGAATGACAACCAAATCTTTTCACTTCACCCACTTTTACTGCATTGTTCTTCAATTCCCAGACATAATACCATAATCTGAGTTTGGTGTTTATTATATTCCGTGGAGGGTTCTTGGTTGGTAAGCTATTAGATCATGTACATCTCTTTGTTATTTCCTTTGGAGCCCCTTAATTTTGCTTTTTTTGGATTTCTGGGTATTTCTGATTTGTTATTGATTTTTTGTTTGTTTGAAGCATTAGTAAAAAGTGAGTTATTTCTTGAAATTGTTCCCTTTATGACAAAAATAAAAGTGTCATCAATTGTTATTTTTGGCTTTTATAGTTCAAAATGTTGCTGAATTTCTTTGCAGCAGATGTAAGAATTTACATAATTTTCAAGGTTTCTTGGTTTGCTGGGTGTTTGAGAACTTAATTGCACTGGAAATTGGTTCCATTTGAGGCTTTGGTACAGTTTAGTTGTGGATTTGGAAATTGGGTTTTGATTATTTTGTGTCGAAGATTTTTTTTATTAAACCTATGGTTATCGAGGTTTGTTGGAAAAAAAGAAATGCAGACAGAACATTGGTATTTTGCTGTCATGTTTGACTTTTAAGGCTAATGCCGTTTGAGTTGATAAGGGTGGTTTGTCTCATGTTCTGAATATTAGCTGGAAAGTGTAGTTTGCATTGATAAGGTTGTTTTGCACCACTGAAACTAATTTCTGGTCGATCCTGTTAATTTGCAGTGAAGCTGTTTGATACTTTGCGGCAATGAAGTGTTTGTATTTCAATAGTAAAGTGAAAAATGATGAACCAAAAACTACAAATTCCATTTCAATGCAATCCTCCACATCTGTTTCCATGTCAACTGAGAACGAAATGAGAAAATCCGGGTCAGAGTCGAATTCCAGGAATGTCTCAGATTTTAGCTCAATTTCATCCACCAAGAGCTCATTTGCTGTTATGTCTCAAAGACGGAGTAATCTCAGAGAGTTCTTGATCTCGGAGTTGAAGACTGCAACAAAGAACTTCAGTCGATCCCTGATGATCGGTGAAGGCGGATTTGGTGGTGTTTATAGGGGTACAATCCGAAGCTCAGAAGATCCCCACAAGAAAATCAACATTGCTGTTAAACAGCTCAACCAAAGAGGGTTTCAGGTCAGCTTCCTGGATTGTTAACCACTGGTAACAAAAACAGCTTCTGAAACATTGATATAAGCTCTAATTCGGGGCGAATTCCTTTTGTATATCATGCCTGCAAATTTGTCTTCATTTCTGTGCATGATTTACCATTTTATTTCGCATAGGCTCTATTCTGTACTGAGAAGCAAAACAATTTAGATAACATAATTTAGACCGCCATGATTGACATTTGAAGTACAAACGACTGTCCTTTGATCTCCAGAGCGGCCGATATCTCATACTGAAAACAAAATTGATTCACGGTGTATGTTCTTTTATGTAACGTATGGTTGTCAAATGTGTTTACACTTTATGTTCACAGGGGCACAAAGAATGGGTGACGGAAGTAAATGTGTTAGGGGTGGTTGAGCACCAAAATCTGGTGAAATTAATGGGTTACTGTGCCGAGGATGATGAAAGAGGAATACAGAGACTACTGATATATGAATACATGCCCAACAGGAGTGTGCAGGATCATTTGTCGACTCGGTTTCAAACAACTCTTCCTTGGGCAACCAGGTTGAAAATCGCCCGGGATGCTGCTCAAGGCTTAGCATTCCTCCATGAAGGAATGGATTTTCAGGTACTTTTAGAGTTACTATAATGTAAATCAATCCGAACATAGGTGTAAATGAGATATTTGTGCTTAAAAAAGATCGAATTCGGCTTGTATGATCAATTAACAAGTCGGTTTCAAAGAATTCTATTTTATGATTGCTACAGATTATCTTCAGAGATTTCAAGTCTTCAAATATTCTTTTGGATGAACATTGGAATGCAAAGCTTTCAGATTTCGGGTTGGCCAGATTGGGACCTTCAGAAGGATTAAGCCACGTCTCAACTGCAGTAGGTTTTAAAGTTTCTATAAATTATGTTTTTAACATTGGAGCTTTTCTTCACGAATGTATCAGTTGGTGCACTTTGCTGAGCAGGTTGTAGGAACCATTGGATATGCAGCGCCCGAGTACATTCAAACCGGACGCCTCACCTTCAAAAGTGATGTTTGGAGCTATGGAGTTTTTCTTTTCGAACTCATAACTGGTAGGCGTCCCTTGGATCGGAACCGCCCCAAAGGTGAAGAAAAGCTCTTGGAATGGGTCCGACCACACATCTCCGATATAAAAAAGTTCAGGTTGATCATCGACCCTAGGCTCGATGGCAAGTATTTGATCAAGTCGGCTCATAAACTCGCAGCAGTGGCTAACAAATGCTTGGCTCGTCAACCCAAATTACGTCCCAAAATGAGTGAAGTTGTGGAAATGGTGAACGGGATTGTTGAATCGGGTGATACGGTGAGCCCCCAACTGGATTCGAAGAGTACGAATATATCGAAAAGAGAGAGCTTGAAAACAAGGGTTTTTGATGTAATAAGTGGGGATCATGGATGTTTGATTTGGCGAACATGGAAGCCGAACGTTGTGAGAACTTGTTAAAAGACTGGTTTGCATTTGGTTGAATTCTTACAATCTTGGTAAAAACCACTGATATCAGATATTTTTATATCTTCTAAAAATTGAACTTTTTTCTCAATTCCTTGATTTTTCTGTTCTTTTTTGAATTTTTG